CCATGACGGCCCATTCGGAGCCCTGTTACAGGCACTGACTAAAGATCCAGAGGATTAAGCAAAAGGAAGATGAAGAAATGTGTTCCAAGATAGACAGAACAAAACAATCTCCCTGTGATTAGTAACAGCAACTGCATTGTGTTTGACATTTTAATTATACAAGGATTGCACTAACAACTTTTTAAATAAAATGTACAATTACGAAGTTTCTTTTTTTTTAGCTACAGGAAAATTGAGTCCAGAAGCAATACCAGGTAAGTTAAACAGTATTGAACTTAGGTTTTTTTTGTAGAAAACTAATTCTTTCCTGCTATAGGCTACTTAAAACTGCGAGGTTGTTTATTGGGTCTTGAATTTTCTGGTTTGGATTCATCTGGTCAACGAATTATGGGTCTTTTATCAGCTAAAGGTAAAATTCGAGATATTCATTATTCATAAAAATAAAAGCCTTTTTTCATTTTCCTTATAGGTCTTGCTACAAAAGTTGCAATTGATAAACGTTATTCATGGCATGTACCTGATAATTGGGCACTTGAACAAGCAGCAACAATTCCAGTTGTTTATGCAACAGCATATTATGCACTTGTTGTACGTGGTCAATTAAAACGTGGTGAAAAAGTTCTTATTCATGCTGGAACAGGCGGTGTTGGTACAGCAGCTATAGCTATTGCTTATAGTTATGATTGTGAAGTATTTACAACAGTTAGTTCAATTGAAAAACGTGAATATCTTAAAAAATTATTTCCACGCTTAAATGATGAACATATTGCTAATTCACGTCATACAACATTTGAACAACATATAAGATTTATTACCAAAGGCAAAGGTGTTGACATTGTACTTAATTCATTAGCTGAAGATAAACTTCAAGCATCAGTTCGTTTACTTGCTCAACATGGTCGACTTTTAGAAATTGGTAAATTTGATTTATCACAAAATAATCCATTACGTATGGGTATATTTCTGAAAAATACAACATTTCATGGTATTCTACTTGATTCACTTTTTGAAAATGCTAATGATGATTGGTTACGTGTACATCAACTTGTTGAACAAGGTATTCAAAATGGTATTGTTCGACCATCACAAAGTAATGTATTTAATGCAAATGAAATAGAACAAGCATTCCGTTTTATGTCACAAGAAAAACATATGGGAAAAGTTGTTATTAAGGTAAATACATTTTTTTTATTTCTATCATATTCGTAAGATTAATTAATGTAATTGACATACTATAAGTAATAGACAGAGGAAAGACAGCATAATTGCCAAGATCAGTCGTGTCTCTAGGAAGTTTTTAACAAAAGCCGATTCCTTTTACACACTGGTTGAGCAATGCGTCTTGAATCGAAGATATGAAACAATACCAAATCTCTCCTTGAGACCGAAGTTTCTCGGAGCTTCTAAAATATCAAAATATTCAGCCATTTTAGCGAGCGAAGGGACTGACAGAGTTAGAGGCTCACAAGTCCGTACGGAGGCTAAGCTCCTCAGTCTTCGCCGCTGCAGAAGAAGTTACTAATACGGCTTGAGTGTGAATATGAATATGTATATGTATAGGTATTACCAAAGAGAAGACTCTCATATACATGCACCATATCATAATATTAGAGACAAAGCAGTTGGCACAGAATATAAAGTGATAATGATCTCAAATGTCGACGAAAAACAAAAACGATTTTTAGAAATTATTCTTTATCATGAGTATTTGACATCTAGACAAACATGTTTTATATGCAGACGCCGGTCTGACTAAGACTTATTTAATAACATCTACGAAGATTTACTCAACAAAACTGACATTGTCGGAACACAATAGAAGAAGCTTCTATTTCGGAGAATGATTTAACTTATTTTTTTTTTGTTTTCATTAGGTATATGATGAATCTCTACCATTGATTCGTACTATACGAAAAACTTGGTTTTCACCAAATAAAACTTATAATAACTGGTGGTCTTGGTGGTTTTAGTCTAGAATTAACTGAATGGCTTGTTGAACGTGGTGCACGAAATTTAATTCTTTGTTCTCGTAGTGGTATTCGTACTGGATATCAATTAAAGAAAATAACTTATTTAGAAACATTTTTTGAAGCAAAAATATCAATATCTAAATTAAATATAACAAATGAAAAAGAATGTGAAGAATTAATTAGTCAATGTACATTACCAATTGGTGGAATATTTCATTTAGCTGCTGTATTACAAGATGGTTTATTTGAAAATTTAACAACAGATCTATTTAATCAAGTTGCTGATATTAAATATAATGGAACAAAAAATTTAGATAAATGTACAAGAATATATTCACAAAAAACATTAGATTATTTTGTTGTATTTTCATCAATTAGTTGTGGACGTGGTAATGCTGGACAAACTAATTATGGTTATGCTAATTCAACTATGGAACGCATTTGTCAACAAAGACAAAAAGATGGTTTACCAGGTATTACAGAATAACAACAAAAAAAAAAGATTTGATTTATCAACTAAGCGTCCTGTTGTTTTTAGCTTTGGCAATTCAATGGGGTGCTATTGGAGATGTTGGTATGGTTATTGAAAATTTAGGTTCAAATGATACAATTGTTGGTGGTACATTACCACAACGAATGGCATCTTGTTTAGAAACTATAGATTATTTTCTTCAACAATCTACAAATATACCTGTTGTTTTATCTTATGTTCTTGCTGAAAAATCACAAAAAACATCAGGATCATCAACAATATCAATTAGCCTAATTGAAACAATTGCAAATATTCTTGGTATATCAGACGCGAGTACAATGTCTTCAGATGGTATATTAGCTGATCTTGATTTGGATTCATTGGGTAGTGTAGAAATAAAACAATTACTTGGACAAAAATATTCAATATCATTAGCTAATTCAAAAGAAATTCAACAATTAACTATAAAACGTTTGAAAGAAATTGATTCAAGTTCATCAGTACCAGCAACAACAGCAATAAATAATACAGAAACTAAAAAATCATCATCAATATCATCATTTGATCTTAGTCAATTATTACCAAAAGATTTAATAGTTTTATTGAATGAAAAAGTCAAATCAAATAAATATCACCATTTATTTCTTATTCATCCTATTGAAGGTCATGTAGAGATGTTAAAAGAACTTTCACAACTTTTACCAATTACAGTATTTAGAATTCAATCAACCAATGATGTACCTAATACATCTATTGAAGATATTGCTGCATATTATATCAAAGTAGATATTAAAAGTCTCTTTTGATAATTTTATCTATAATTTTCTTTTAGAAAATTATTGAAATACAACTAACTCGTACATATTTAATTGATGGTTATTCGTTTGGCGCTTGTATTGCCGTTGAAATTGCTCTACAACTTCCATCAATTACACAACTTTTATTACTTGATAGTAGTCATTCATATGTTGTTACTCATACAAAACAATATAGAACAAAATTTGATGAACCTAAATATGCTGAAGCTGCAGCCATATGTCATCTTTTTTTTTCCTTATTAATCTATTTTATTTTATTGAATTCTACGATTCATGTTTATTTTGTAACTTTATGCTTTTCTACAATAATTTATTCCAGATTTAGATCAATAGAAAGTAAGATTGAATTAAAATAAGATGATTTCATTCTCGTGTTTTCTTTTTTAATTTGTTTTAGATACTATCAGATTTAGCAAATCTTCCATCATATGATACATGTTTATTATTTGCAGCTGAAATTCTTAATAAAACAATCAATATTGTTGTAGATAATATAATTTTAATTGCAAAACGATTTCATAATAAATTATTATTGGCGGAAAAATATATTCTATCAAATAAAATACAATGTCACACAATATTATTTCGTGTACAAACAAGTAGTGAATATAGTGAAACAATTAGAGATGATTATGGAATGTCGATAGTAAGAATTTTGGATTGTTTTTTTTTCTTAATGAACAAAAAATTGAATAATTTATTTATTATTACAGATATGTTAAGGTCCACTTCAAGTCCTAGTCATTCCAGGTGATCACTGAACATTTTTGCAAGGCGAAAATGTAAAAATGTTAGCTGCTCAGATTACAACTGTTATAAGTAACAGTTCTTGACGAATGTGCAATGATTTATTTTGAATGATTTACAATCAACAAAATCATATGACATGTGTTCTTGTTGTTCTATTTGTATTTTTTAATTTTTCCCATTGTGATATATAATCTCTTATTGTATTTTAACCGTTTTACAAAATATTTTAAAGAGGAAAAAAAATACGAAAAACAAAAATAATATTTCTTAATTCACCTCAAATAGGTCGAAAGTGTTTCGTTTGGTTTTTGTTTTGAATGAAAGAAAGAAAAGTTTTTGAAGATTCTTTAAAAAGAATTTTCGTAGTTGCGAAAAATTTTCAAATGAAAACAATGGCGAATCTAGAATTTGGTAACATGAGGTACTTCAGAGAAAAGAAAAGAGCGATTATGGTCAAAAAAAGAAAATATTTTGAAGGCCGTTAAAAGTATTTTTAGCTCTTTTCTATTGAAAAAAACTGAAAAAAAAAGTTTGCAAGGAGGAGAGGAAGCAATCTTCTTTAGCTCCATCCTCTTAAACTCTTCACCGAATGAAAAAGCACAATTTTGATTTGTTTTTTTTTTCGACAGTATAGCCCATAAATAATTAGACAATAGAAAAAATGCAACGTCTTCAAGTTCCTTTAATTGATCAGAATAACTTTTTTGTGCCTGTTTTAGAAGATTCATGCTACATATGGATGTATTAGGACAATCGGTTAGATGGATGACAACGTACGGGACTTTAGACTCCGTAGTAGTATGAAATGAAGAAGAATTTTTATGCTTTGTTTTATTTCGAGCAAGTTGTTAGACAGTCGATTCTAGGTCACGCTGACAAAAAAAAGAAGAATAACAGGGAAAGAGAAGAGAAGCGAAGAATCAGAAAAAAGACTCAGAAAAGAGAAGAAAGAAAGGAAAAATGCATATATATATTATTCATCTCGTTAACACGTGGCATCTGCATAATTATTGTATGGATCTTATGCCTTTTCTCTCTTCATACAATATTTGTTGTTTCACGCTTCTCTTTTTTTTTACTTTTGTTCTATTTTTCCTCTTATTTTATTTTAATTTAGTTCACTATTGATATCTATGGCCCTAAAGCTCAATTATCCCTTTAGAGTCAACATAGTCATATGGCTAAAGAATGCTAATAAAAAAAAAGTAAAACACTAAAATACTTCTAGTAAAATCTTATGGTATTAATATGTAACAGAGGCCCTAATCTGTAACAATTTTTAATAAAATATGTTGATCGGGTTTTTCTTGTTGACCAGCTTTTTAACAATTTCCGTTTTCCCTTTAACTTAACCTTTTTTTTTATTCTTTAAGTTTTGTCTACTATTTATTCTTGTTCAGTTCACTTTTCTATTACGATTTTATTCCTCTGTAATAATATATACTTTGATAAGATTGTATAAACCAAAATAATTCAATTATGTGCCTTTTATTTTTACAAGATAAAACTTCGTATCTTAAATGCAGTCTACTATAAAAAGCCAATCACAAAATCTAGAACTATTTTCGCTCTTATATCATTATGTTTGATTCACAATGTATAAAATAAATAATGTTTTCTATAGATAGATGACTAATATACATGTTAATTGAATTCTAACTAATAACAATTTTTTTTTAATCTAATGATAAATCAAGATAAATTTTATTAATGAATATGAAATAAAAAAGTAATAAATCGACTAATGTACGAACAGTAATCGAAAAACGTAAGAACCATGTATCGAATATTGGAGACTTCTAAATGTTCAATTGGGCTTATCTAAAAGAAACAAAAAAAGATAAAATCGTGTCTCAAATATTCATTTTTCTATGAAAATATCGACTTGTGGCCTGGCAAAACCTCGTGAAAATGAAAACCAAAGAATTACAATAGATCACAATCGAAAATGATTGTGCTTAGGATTAAAAGGAAATTTGTTTTCTAACGATATGTTCAGAAAATTCTTTCACTATAATTGTATATAGGATTACTCAAGGTTAACGGTTCAGATTAACATGTAATAACAAGTTTTGGGATTGACCAATTTCAATAAAAATTTACTTTGTTTTTCTTGATTGTTTTGAACTTCCTGACCTATATCGTTTTCATCATCTTTTCTATAACCAACATTTATGTATTCGTCTTTAGAATTTCGTCATATTCTTATCTTCAATATGCCTTGATTCGAAGTTGAACCAGATAAATTTTTCGAAACTTGTTGCTGGTCCATTATTTTCGTTGTTATCGTTTAAACGAAAAAGAAACACTGCTATATATAGTGAATAGAAATGATAAAAACAATGAACTACTACTAAGAAAGAATTTGGATTGATTGTGTTCAATGGCTCAAAAATTGCTATGCAGAATTTTGTTTAATATATTTCTGAATATGTATATATGGATTTTTTATTAGAAATGCAGCACATATTTCATCAAGCAAAAAGAGCTGATAGATTTGAAATTTTTTTTGAAAAATGAAATCAAAAAAAATAATTTCGGCTGTAATGTTGATGAAATAATGTTTTTTTTGTATGCAATAGAATATGATATTTTCTACATGATCTTTGAGGTCTTTGTTTATTCCTAACCTGAAAAAAGTTCAATAGAAATAAATATTGTTGAGGGACATGTGGGTGTATGTATTTGTTTTTAATTATATGCATTCTAATTAGTTATATGATAAACAAATATTGATTATGATGTGATGACATCTTCGCTCCTCTCCCCCAAATTTTCCATATTTACTTTATCTTTTCTTTTCACTTAGAAATATTCTTGGACGTTAAAATATGTTATTATTATTGAAATTCTTCTGTTGTTTTTTACATTGTTTCACGTTCTGTTAACCTGATTAGCCCACTCACACGAACGATACAAATATTCTGAACAAATATTTTATAATTTCAAGTGAATAACATGATAGTGCGTAGGTTATTTCTTGCCAGCCTATCTAAGGACGGTGCTCTTTTGTTTGTGTCTACAGTTAAATTTCGAGTAGTTGAATAAGTAAGTGTTGTTATACTGTTTCTATGATTTTCTAAACAATTAATTTTTTTTAGAAATTATCAAATGAACTCTAAAGGTCGACGAATGATTTATATATGATTATTGTAACAGGTCAGTTGATGTTTTAGTTAGGATTTTTATCTTAGACTTTTCCTTTTCGAATTCAAAAAAAATCATCTTTCATCTGTTTTTGGGAATATTACTAAATATTATAAACTGCATTAAAAAATTAATTTTACTTTCAGTAGAGTATATTTCTCAGACTCCTTTTTTTTTTCTTTAATTCTTTGTAATCGCTCCACGGATATTGTAAAATATTGATGTGCTATGAGTGAAGGTATTTGCCCAAAGGGGTAATAGACGTCCTTCCAGCCATCGAGCGATTACTTTCTTCTGTCCCTTGGGGCCCCTTTGAGTTGACAGTTTAAGGATTTAATCGATCAATACTATATAGAATAAGATAGTTTTGCGTATGGTCTCTGTGGCTGTCACTGGTGGCTATCCCGCCGGACAGAGCAGGATCAAGGTTTTCATAGGGGATTGAGCTATTTTCATATTGTTTCAGTCGGGATCATAATGGATAGAAAGTTGAAAAATAAAATCAAAAAATATTAGATAAGGTATAGATTAAGTTTTTCGTTTGTTTTGTTTTGTTATGTTTTTTGTATGTTATTCAATATTTTTTTTTGTAAGAGTGTTTGTTTTCTAATTATTTAAATAAAAGAATTTGAATCAATAGTTACATTTAGAGATATGAATGAATTTTAGTCAATCTCCTGGTAATTTAAAGGTAAAACTTTTTTTGATTTATTTAATTTAAATACTTTCCTTATTTATTTATTTTCTATGGTCTTCACTATACGAACATATCAACATCATTCTTCAAAATACATTATTGCCGATTTTTTTTCTTTTTACATATGTATATTATTTGTTTGTTAATTTAAATTTTAATAAATAAATTTCTGACAAAAAACAAAAAAAGAGCTTATTGTTTTATATATCTATATATCTATGTATCTAATTTTTCTTTCAACAGATCAGTATCTTTGCACAAAACATACAGTACAATGTCATTTCGAATACCTAAAATAAAAAAAGATCCTCCAATCAGTACAGATTCAAATACAAGTACCGATGCAAGTACGGATACAAGTACAGATACAAGTATAAATACAAATAAAGGTACAGATACAAGTACAACTAGTTCAAAAGAAATATACTATCCAAAAATAACAATTTCACAAGAAGATATGTTTCGTATTTTTGCTTATTTAACAATATTGTTCATTGGAGATAATTCCATACGTACAATTTATCGTGATTTTGTTCAAATATTTTCTACTGGTAGATTATTAAAAAAAGGAGAAGCGACTATACAACATGGTGAATATAAAATGGAAGGTGAAGTTCGTTTACAAAAAAGTGGTAAACGTGGGCATCGAGATTATAAAGATGTACGTTATTATTTTTGTCAGACTTCATCGACACAATTAATTTATATATATATACCAACTGTCTTTGGAGATATAGCACAAAGAAATATTGATTATTTAAAAACAATCAAGAATTGTAGATTTATTCATGCTGTTATTTTTTCATTATATCATGGTAATTTGAATTTGTAAGTTACCATATATACATAGATAATTATTATTTGTTTTTATTTATATAGTGCTCAATTGAAAAAAATTGAAATACCATTCAACCAACATTTAGAACAATATGATGAAAATTTTAATAAAATTTGTATGCATCTACTAGATATATGTGAAAATAAAAAAGATCGTCACCAAAAAAAAATCTGGATGGGACCATTTCCACCAAATATGAAATTAACTAAAGAACAAAAAGAACAATTCAAAGAAATAATTCTTCATACAGATACAATTACTAAAATAAATGGTTTCAAACGATTTAAGCGTAATTTCATTTGGAAAAAAACTCATAAAGAATTATTAATAAAAAATACACATTATTTTTCACCGAAAGGTATTCGTTTAATGACACAATTTCTTGCTGAAATTATCGGCACAAGATGGGAAAGGACAATATAATTAAATAAATTTGTTTTTTTTTGTTCATTTGTTTTTTTGTTTTTCTATATTTAATAAATAAAAAATAAATATGTCTATTACATTTATGCTTTGTCTTCCAGATTACAAATCATAAGAAATCAAAATGAATAAACCAATTACAATTACATCATCAATAAAACAAAATGATATAATAGATGTCGATAGATCCTTAGTTCAACCAGGTTCAACTGATCAAAATGTTAAATCAAATAATCAAGTTAATAAAGAATCAGGTATCAAACGTCAATGGGAAGAACTAGATGAAGATAAAAGTAAACGACAAAATTGTGAACCAATAATGATTACTGATGATTATTTTGATTACAATCAAGATTTACAAGAAGATTTTACTTATACAATTCAATCATTCTATGCTCCAACTACTAATAGAATCAAAATGGTATCAATTCTTCATCAACTTTAAGACAAATTTTCATAAACTTTGTTTTGTTTTTCTTTTAATATTTTTGTATCTGTAGTTTTTTTTTCTTCTTAATGCTATTAAATATTAGTATTGTACTACAGCGTATTCCTATATTCATTTATAGATTAATAAAAAAAAATGTCTCGTCAAAATTTACAACGTCAACCATCAGCTGTATTTACTTCAGATCAAGATGATGATGGTGATCAAAATAATGATACTAATTTAATGGATATACAATTTTCAACACCTGAAGGAAAATCACAACGTCAACCTCAACAGCCAGCAAAAAAAAAACTAACAACACGGAGAATAACAAATGATGATGAAATTGAAATTATTGATTTCATAACAGGAAAAAAAAAAAGTCACAATTTATTATTCAATGTAATTATATACCACGAACTCTTCTATTTTATAATCAGCGTCGTCTATCTATTTTACCAACATTTCCATCAGTCATTTTTAATAATAGTCCACAATTATTATTAGCAAATGTATCGATAAATGAATTATCATCAGTACAATTAGCACGTCGTGAACATGGAAAATATCAATCATCTTTTAAAGTTTTAAATCCTGATCCAATAACACCATCATTAATGATTAAATTTTATAATCAAAGATTTGGTACAATTCTTGAACGTTTTAAATTAGATCTATCAATATTAGATCATAATTATGCACGATTAGATGAATTTATTACATTATTTCGTTTGGCACGTTCAACTTGCACATATACCACAACCACCACCAGGTTATAAATTTCCTAAAAGACAAATTAAAACACAAGTCGAATTTTTTAAAAAGAATTTAATTAATGAACGATTTGTTAATGATATTTATGTTTATAATGCAAAAATTATTGCAGTTGTGCCACCAAATACAAGTGATTTATTTCGTCGTATTGTACATTCATTATTCGTTACACATACTGAAACAAAATTAAATGCATTAGGACATATATTTACAAATACAGATGCTGTTAATATTCGAAATGGAATTTGGTGTGCCAATTTAATACGTCGTACAATTGTTCCAACATAAAAAAATAGATCTTTTCAAAACTTTTTTCCTTTTTCTTTCATTTTCATTTTCATTTTCATATTTCATTTTTGCTTTTTCGGTTTTATTTTTGAATCATTTAATTTATATCATATTTCTTTCTTTCTTTCTTTTTTTGATTTTGATTTTGATTTTAGATTCAAAGATAATCAAAATGAATTCCAAAAAAAAACATATATATAACATTTGGTGGTTTCTTTTTTTCATTTTCATTTTCATTTTCTTTTTCTTTTTCTTTTTCTGCACGTGTACGTGTACTAGTTGTACACGTTTCTTTTTTTTGTTTTGTTTTGTCTTGAATCATTGTTCTCTTTTCTTTTCTTTTGATCCACGTGGTTATACATTTTGTTTTTCAAAAAAGATAAATTTATCTTTGAATTGCTCAATTTTCTTTTCTCTTTTTTGTTTTCTTATATTTGATCATATATACATTTATAATGATACATATATAGAATTGAAATAAAATCATTTCTTTATTTGATTTTTTGCCGGTACAATAAATATGTTGTCATTTGAATAATTTCATTCTAGTTCACACACACACAAATAACTAAATATTGGAAAAGTAATGCAGTCTTCAAGTCCTGTTTCCGATTTTGAATGGATAAAAAATATTAGTTATAATCCATTTGTTCAATTGATATTAATTTTAATATGTTTATTTTCATTAATATTAAATTACTATCTACAAAAGAAACTAATATATAAAATTGAAATGTTAAATAAAGATTTGATTAAAAAGAATAAAAAAATAAACAATTTACAACATTTTCTACCATTAAAAACATATGAAATTTATTCAATTGATGAAACAACATCAGTAAATACAATAGAAGAATTAATTACAGTAGCAAAACGAACATATGTAGTGACATTATTTCCATATGATGATAACAAGTTAAATATACATTATCTACAAATAGAATTGATACAAAATCAAAAATCAATTATAATAAATGTTGAATTTTTTTTTGGACATAATCTATTATTACCACAATTAGAAGAATTTTTATCAGTTATATTTCATCCATCAAAATTAATTCAAGTTTGGGGCAATATAAATAGATTTAGATATGACATTAATTTCAATCTAATCTATAGTCAACATGATATTCGAAATTGTAATTTCGTTGATATACAGAATGATTTTGAAATATGGTATAATAACACTTTTCAACATAATCATCAAAATTCTGATCAAGAACTTGATTTTCATCATACAACAGATACTTCTGCACAATGTTTATGTTCATATCATTCATTAACAAGTTCAACTAATAAAAATCAATGGTCTCTTAAAAATGCTATCGAATATACATTTCAAGAAAATTTTAATTATTCCAATTTGCATCCTTATCAATGTCTAGCAATAACAAAACTTGCAATTATTATTTTTGAAAAATGGGATTATACAAAAATTCAAGATTATATCAAAAATAAATCATATGAAACAAAAAAGTAGATTTGAATAATTTCTCTCATTGAATTCATGATTTTGTCTTTAGAATGAATACACAACAATAGTTCCTGGTGGTTCAATTATACAAATATATAAATGAACTAATCAATTTCGTTCGCTTCCTTAGCAAATAAAACTAGATTTTCAATGCTTCAAATTTTTTTTTGCTTTTCAAAATAAATTTTTTATATCTTTATCTTTAATTCATAATAATAATAATAATAATAAAATTCATTTCTTTTATATTCGTTTTGGATAAAAAATAAATTAAATAAAAGTCCTGAAGAGTACTATCTTTATAATGATACGAAACGCGTCGGCGTTAAATTAAATCTGCATTATTTTGTTTTTTCTAAAATCTAATTCAAGCACACACAATATATCAAAATATTAAATTTGACTTAATAATCGGTTGCTGAAAAGCAAAAGTTGAAAATAACAGATTGATTTATATTATTTCGGCAAAAAAATATATAGATTGATCTGTTTTCGAATATTTGATTTATTCACCCACACCCACACACCCAAGTTGCTGATATCAGAATGACCCACCAATTATAAATTTATTTATTGCACCAAAACCTATATAAAGCAGCCACTTTTTCATTATTCTCATTCACAACACACACTTATCTACAAGCAACACTACAGAAAGATCGATAATAAATGGGCTCTACACAAAACAATTAATTCTGTTTATAATGAATCTATTGAAAAATCAAATCGATATCCTATGAGTTATTAACATAATATCATTTATTCTATCAGTTATCGGTTCATCTGTTTTTTTTTGGATAAAAGCCCCTTCAATCCATACAAATATTAATGGTTATCTCTTATTCTCTTCTAGATATATATATATATACACCATTATTATCTTACTTACGGCTTTGTGAAGAAAAAATGCCAATTCTGCGAGTCATCGAAACAAGCACCAAACAGTGGAATACAACGAATCATAATGCCGTTATCATTAGTCCCGGTGAAATGTCACTTCAAGGGTTTAGGTAAGCTTCCCTTTTCTCACCATCCACCGGTTATTTTTACTAATACTGATTGTTTCAAAAAACTGATTATGAGAAGAAGTATATTCTTGTCTTAGTGTAAAAATGAGTTACAAGCTATCATGTTCAAACACACGCATATTTCGTTGCATGTGTGATTAATTACATACTATGCTTCAATATTGGTATATTTAATTCGTGTAATTTTTAGTCAGGTCGAAATATTAAAATATGACACATGGCATATATTCAATGTCATCCGATCAGATGAAGTAATCGTAGGCTACATGAGTTTGTCAAAGCATGCGGTAACATTTTCAAAAATCTTTTATTAACTCACAGGCAATACTATATGTTTTCAGCGACGAATGTATCGTTTCCATTTGGGGAATCACTACCCGATTGAAGGATATTGTTGCTTAACGGTAGTCCCGCAAAATCCAAGATTTGACGGCTCAAAAATTGGAATCATAGGTCAGGACGCAGCAATTGAAGAAATTTTAACATCAGTCTTTGGACGACGCCAACTTCGAGTAACGGATCGTTCTGAACTCAGTAAGCTTGGTTTCTATTAACTTTACAATATCACTTCAAATCATTATATAGCGATAAAACCTACGCGTGGAGTCATATTATATGGACCTCCGGGAACAGGCAAAACTAGCATGATTAGGTATATGCTCATAAAATTCATTTCATATTTTGTATATAGTTCTATATCAGGGGTATATGCAACTACATGAAAGTTGAGCCTCGCATTGTCAATGGACCAGAACTTCTGGATAAATATGTCGGCAATTCGGAGCAGGCCGTTCGTCAACTTTTTATTAAAGCAAAAAAAGATCAAAAAAAGGTAATCATCAATTTGTACTAATGTCGTTTTGTTTC